CCTGCGGGTCGCGCGCCCCCCCAGCTCCCCGCTTGCACCGTGATGAAGCCGCCGGCCGCCCCGAAATGTAAGGGGGGGGGGGGGGGTGATGGGATCCCCCCCCTCCCCCCCCCCCCGGCGCCCAGCACCGCCCGCAGGGTTGGGCCGATGGAGGTCAGACGTAGGCCGACTCGCTGGACTGCGTGCGGCCCAGGGCGGGCGCGGGGCCGAGCGCGGCGCCGTCCTTCTTGCGCACCTCCACCAGGGACTTGCGCCTCGCCTGCACGCCGCGCACGGCCGCCTTCACCTTGCGCCAGCCCAGGTGGTTGAGCTCGGCCAGGTTGAGCAGCACGCAGATGCCGCTGACGGCGAACATGAAGACCAGGAAGACGGTCTTCTCGGTGGGCCGCGACACGTAGCACTCCACCTCCTTGACGCACGGGTAGCGGTCGCACTCGAAGATGGCGGGCACGTTGAAGCCGTACAGGAAGTACTGGCCGGCCAGGAAGCCGATCTCCAGCGCGTTGCGGAACACCACCTGGATGACGTAGAAGCGCGAGATGCCCTCCTGCCGCTTGGCCTTGGCGCGGCGCGGCGGCGTGCACGGCGGCTCCTTGCCCTCCTCGGCCTCGGCCTTGGCGCCGCTCTCGGTGCCGGGCGCCAGCGCGCCGTTGAGCGTCCGCGCCTTCTTGGCGTCGCGCTCCAGCAGGGGGCACAGGAAGGAGTAGCGGCGCTCGCGCTGCTTGGCCGCCTGGTGCACGGAGTAGGTGATGAAGCAGAGGCTGGGCGTGCAGACCAGGATGATCTGGAAGACCCAGTAGCGGATGTGCGAGATGGGGAAGGCCTTGTCGTAGCACGCCTGGTTGCAGCCCGGCTGCAGCGTGTTGCACATGAACATGGTCTGCTCGTCCTCGTACACCGTCTCGCCCACGATGGCCACGATCAGGATGCGGAAAATCACCACCACCGTCAGCAGGATCCTGCGGGGACAGCGGGGCTGCGGCCAGGGGTTCCATGTGGGGTGCGTGTCCTACAGGGACTGTGGGGTCATGGCCATGGGTTCCGAATGGGGTGCATGTCCTGTATGGATAGCGGGGCCGGAGCTGTGGGTTCCACAGGGGGTGTGTCCTGTATGGACAGCAGGGCCATAGCCATGGGTTCCATATGGGATGTGTGTCCTGTATGACAGCAGGGCCATAGCCATGGGTTCCATATGGGATGTGTGTCCTGTATGACAGCAGGGCCATAGCCATGGGTTCCATATGGGATGTGTGTCCTGTATGGACAGCAGGGCCATAGCCATGGGTTCCATATGGGATGTGTGTCCTACAGGGACTGTGGGGTCATTCCTACCATGAGACGCGTCCTCCATGGACACTGGGGTCGTACCCATGGGTCCTACTGTGGGATGTGTGTCCTATATGGGGCCATAGCTACCCGGGGACATGTCCTATGTGGACATTGGGGTCGTATCCATGAGTCCTAATCATTTACACATCCTCCATGGACACTGGGGTCGCACCCATGGGTCCCACCGTGGGCTGTGTGTCCTCCACGCACACCGGGGTGACACCTCTGGCTCCCAGCTCAACACCACTCCACCGTGGGCACCCACAACCCCCAGACGAGGACGCCCAGGCCCCGTGAGGACACCGGCTCCTTCCCCTGGGTCCTGGCACCGGGACCTGCACCCCCGCCAGCCCCCCCGGGTGCCCCCAGGCCCCATCCCCGCAGGGTGGCAGCGCTGACCTTGGCCCATCTGGGGGCTCATCGACCGGAGCCGCGGCTCCGCCGGCACGCAGGGCTGGGGACGAGGGGACAGAGGGACCCTCGGGGCGGCAGGTGGATCGCAGCCCACGTCACAGCGCAGCGGGGGAGCCGGGGTGCTCTGGGGACACCGATGTCCCCGCGGAGGGTTTGGGGACGCAGAAGGGACCGATGTCCCCACGCAGAGCCGTGCATGTCCCCGCGGCGTCCCCTTCGTCCCCGGTGCAGCGGGGAGGTGAGGATGGGAGCCCCCGTCTCCCCGCGGTGGGAGAGGAGAGGGTGGCAAACGGGGGTCCCCTGCCGCCCCGTTGGGGCCGGAGGGCTGCAGGACAGCGAGGAGGGCGGACCGTGGGGGTCGCGGGGGGCTGCCCCGGAGCGGGGGTCGCGGGGGGGGGGGGGGGGGGGGCTCACCTGCCGATCATGGTGGAGTGCTGCTGCACGGCCGCCTCCAGCAGCCGCTCCAGGATCGTCCATTCGCCCATCGCGATGGGAGCGGGGGGTGCCGGACCGGGACCCTCCCCGGACCGGGACCCCCCCCCTCCCCGGCCCCACCGGGCCCCCTCCCCGCGCTCAGCGCCGCGGCCCCATCGCCGCCTTCTCCGTCCGCTCGGGGAGAGCCGAGCGCGGCCCCGAGCCCTGCGCGGCCCCGAGGAGCGGCGGGAGCGCGCAGCACGGCCCCGGGACCGGGCTGCCGGGGGGTTGGGGGGAACGGGTGAGGGGGTGGGCGGGCCGGTGGGGGCACCGGGAGCAGCGGGGCGATGCACCGAGGGCACGGGCGCTGTGCTGGGGGCACTGGGGGGATTGCGGGCTTCGGGGGCACCGCTGCCGTGTGCCGGGACGCCGCCGGGATGCCCTGCGGAGCAGCTGGGAAGCGTCTGTGTGTCGTGTCGTGTCGTGTCGTATCGTGTCGTGTCGTG